AAACGGTACCACCATCAGAGCCAGAGCAGAGTCTTCAGTCTGCTCCAGTAATAAGTGAGATGGACTCCAACATGGCAGAGAGGGAGGAGGAGGAGCAGGAAGCTGCAGGGATCCATCCCACCCCGGCAGACGAGCCTCTGGAGGAGGAAACCAGGCCCAGTGAGGAGGAAAAACTGGAAGTCCAGGTGACAGCGAGCCAGAAGGTAACGGTCACGGTAGAGTCTGACTCGGAGCAGAAATCTAAGGACGTCGTCGTCCAGGAAAAGAAAACAATCAGCCTGCTAGACAGCAGCGATGACGAAGACGACGAAGACGAGGACCTGATGTCTGATGAAGACGATTCGGGGAGCAGAGAGGAGAGACGAAGAGAGCCTTCCAGCATGTCCGAGGCAGCCTCAACGTCCGCGGTTGAGGGCCTGTTTATGATCGACACTCGACCCGGACAAGATGCTGACCAGCAGTACTTGAGAGAGGAAGAGGAAGCTGTGGATAAAGCAGCTGAATCGGAAGATGAAGAGTTCATCGACGAAGAGGGGGACGAGGATGAAGACGAGGATTCAAAAGTCTTGTTCTCCAGCAGAAGCTCTCAGTTGTAAGTGAAACGGATTATTCCAGTTTGAATGCAGAGAGGTGAAGAACAAGATCACCTTCATCTTTTTTGATGTTTTCTGTGTTGCACCGTGTCAGACACATGCAAAGCCGTCCCAAGACTCAGTGAAGGAAGCGGGTGGGACTTCAGGCAGTCGTTATAGATCATAGATTTTCCAACCACAAAAAAATAAAAAAATCCTAATTCTGACTTTGATTAACATGGAAAAATATAACTTAGAATTAACAGAATAGCTTTTTAAAGGCTTTAGAAATTCTACATGAACAAATGATGGAGTCTTCAATGAGCAGGTGGAGAGAAAGATCAGTATACCTCCATCTTAATTTAAGAAAAGCTACGCTAAGCAGGGTGCAAATATACAGCAGGGTGTTTGAATGTGTGCATGTTTGAGAATATGAATGGGTGAATGTGGCTCTAGCTTAAAGCACTTTGAATGTTCATGATGACTAAAAGGTCCATTTACCTGAAGCCAGAGGAAACATTTTAAGGACTCTTTCTAGCAGTTTTTGTAGTATATTAACTCGCATCTCGTTTATATCACTTTTAAACTCATTTTATACCCCAAGATTGTGAAATGCGTTGTTTTTTCATCCAAGTTGCAGTATGTCCCTGTTGTCGTTTCATACCTGGATACTCAGGCCTAACTTTTTGCTACTCATCCTTGCAGGAGTGGTTTGTGCTATAGAGATTTCTACTGAATCGTAGCAACACTTACCTGTCACTGTGAACGGTGCTTCTTTCAGAGAGCAACCTGCTCACTTGGTTATATGTTTGGGGAGTTTATTATTTTCTTAAATGGACTGGTCATGTAAAGGACTGCAGAGCCTCCTGGTTTCATCACTGCCGTACGGCGGTGAGGAGTGAGACGTGGTTGCGCCTCCTGAGGAATTTTCTTTGTGCCTATTAATTTCAGGACAGAGATGTCCAGCCGTATTGACCCCGGCCTCAGGGTGAAGGAGCTCGGGGGTTTATACATCAGTTTCGATGGCAGCAAATCAAAACCCGTCTCCAGCTTGCTGCAAAATCTGAAGGAAAAGAAGAGCTTGGGTGAGGTAAATTACTGATTGATTTTTCTTACTCCGCTTCTCTGAAGGTGAGCTGAGGTGCAGAATGAATAACGAACGTCATATTTATTCAGATGATGTTTATAGTTTCTATCAAAGTTTTTGGACTTTGACCCGTTTTACTCCCGAGTCGTTTTTAGAGACGTGTTCAGGGTGGCAGTTTTTGTGCTTCTCCGCAGGCGATGAAGAAGAGTGTGATCGTCCCGGACTTTGAGAAGAAGGACGCAGTGCCTCCCTACAGTGAATCTAAACAGGCCTTAAAGTTGAAACACAGAGTAAGTTTTATAAAGTTAGCCTTTAGTTTGAATAATTGAAGCACTTTTGAAGTCTGGTTAGCTCTCCATCAGTGAAGCTTGTTTTGAACCGATCATTTATTTTTTTCAGGCAGAGAGGGCGAAATCAACAGGAGACGGTTGGTTTGGTATGAAAGCTCCAGAGCTAACCCAGGAGTTGAAAGGAGACCTTCAGGTCCTGAAGATGAGAGGCTCCCTGGATCCCAAGAGGTTCTACAAGAAGAACGACAGAGATGGCTTCCCCAAATATTTCCAGGTCATTGTTTACTGGCGTCTCAGATTCCTCACAAAAATTCACAGATTTTCATTAATCTTTCAAATAGTTGTTCTACAATGTCACAGTCTGTGGTGATAAGATTTTTTTTTTTTTTTATCTCATTCTACATGTCTGACAGGTGGGCACCGTGATGGACAGCCCGGTTGATTTCTATCATTCCCGTGTTCCCAAGAAAGAGAGGAAGAGAACCATGGTGGAGGAGCTGCTGCATGATGCCGAGTTCAGGCAGTAAGTTAAACTCATGAAGGAATAATCGTCAATGTTACATTTGACTTCTTTTTTCTTGTTTTGACAATCTACCCTTTTGAAAAAGAACCCTATCAATCAATCACATTTTATTTGTATAGCACATTTCAGCAGCAAGGCATTTCAAAGTGCTTTACATAATTAAAATAAAAACAGCATGTGAGAAAGACAGAGATTTAAGAAAAATATAAAAACATAAATAGTGAGAAAGAGAAATAAAAAGAAATTAAAGATAAAGAGATTTAAAAAAATAAAAACATTATCCACGTGAGGACTTGCCCTTTTGGGGTCTCCTCGAAAATAAGAGGCTCTACAAGCCTTTCCTTCTGTAGGACTTTAGTCAAACCGCCATTTGACAAGAACTCAAACCTTTAAAACTTCTTTACATAAAGAGATTAAAAAACAAAACATCAAAGACATCAAAACCTGCACTCTAACCCTTATTCAGCTATAAGCAACTCTAAACAGGTGGGTTTTAAGTTGAGATTTAAAGGCACCCAGTGTTCCAGCTGTTTTACAGTTTTCTGGAAGTTTGTTCCAAATTTGTGGTGCATAGAAACTGAATGCTGCTTCTCCTCGTTTGGTTCTGGTTCTGGGGGTGCAGAGCAGAACCAGAAGATCTGAGGGGTCTAGACAGTTGGTACAGCATTACAATCATAATCAATACATATGAGAGATAGAAGCTCATTGAAGTCCGTAAAGAAATTTTCCTCATATGTTATCTTTTATTGAGGAGGTAAAGTAAACTTTTGAAAACCTGTTGGACAAAAAAAAAAAATCTCATGTTCAACAGAAATGCACCACTCCCGGTCAGAAACAACCAATCAGAGCCGGGCTTCAGACCAGTGTGGGGAACCAGTTGTGGCATACAGAGAGCAAGAGGGAGGGCATGACCAGCGTGTACACTAGTGTGATTGACAGCGTTAGACCCTCCTCCTGACTCTTATTGGTGGTGTATTTCCACAGATTGCAGCTGGACCACAGGGAGAATACAAAGGACTTCAACCTTTTGTTCACCACAGATTATCTGTCTCATAACTAATTCGGAATGAATTGGGTTCATTCCGAATTAGGGAATGATCCTAATTTGGTCATAATTTGATTGGAAAGATGAATTTAAACTCCAATTCAGACCCTCATTCTATCACTCCTTCCGATTTTCTCCAAAAACATTCTGCTTACAGCATCCACACTTCATTTTCACAAGAAATGCTCATTTGTATAGTTTTTATTGTTTCAGACTTTTATAAACGGAAACATGAAATGCGGTTTTCTTTTCTCGACGCAGAAAGAATAAAAGGAAGTACCAGCAGATTATAGCAGCGAAAGCAGCACAACGAGCTGGGAAGAGGAGCCAGAAGAAGAAATTACGCAAGAAGTGAGGAAGTCGTGAACTCCGACCCTGAGGGGTTTTTCCATGAACTCTGATTTTCGGCCCTTCAACATGAGGGGCCTCATCGAGGAGTGTGAGACGAGTGTGTCGACAGTGAAACACTAATCCTCACTGCGTCCTGATCTGATCATTTCATAACTCTGTACAGTGGTTAATAAATATTGCTTCAGTTGGATTTTTAATGAAATTTGAACCAGTTTCAGAGTGTCTACCTAAAAATAAAATACTTTCATTGTGACCATCTTTGGTATGATTCTGAAGATTGTAGAGTTAAAGTTCAAAATGCGTACACTTTGTTTAACTATGATGATATTGGGACTGCAGAATAAAAGTTACATTGATGTGACCAAAGAAGAACTCGGCTTGACTGAACTTTTATCTAGATTAAGTGTTGGGTAGTATAATTTTAAACTTAAACAGACATGCAGAAAACTCAAATAGGTCAGATTTTCCATTATTAGTTCTGTTGCTTCTCTATTCAAAAACTTCAGAGCTTTTTGCATATCTAGTGTTATTTAGGGAAGTGACAAGAGTTCATAATAGAGTTATAATTTGATTCGCTGTGATAAATACCTTTACATACCATCCCATAGCAGAAGGATGTTCTGTAAAGCTTCATCAATGATGAAGACATTTCCATGTAATACTATGAAGCTGCTATGTTTGCATTTCAGTCGCGTCTCGGTCTCTTTGTGTCGCCCGCTCTTTCATTCAGGATTACTTTTGTTCCTTTTCTCTCGCTCAAATCTCTCGTCTGTTTTAGTTTGGGGCTTGCAGCGGTGGCTCTTGGCTACCTTCATGCTTATCTTTTGTGCTATAAGAGGCGAGCCCTCGACAGCTGCAGCTTACATCCTCCGCGTCTCCTTCCCACACACGCAAAACGGAGCTTCTGTAAACCCGAGCCAGAGTTTAATAAACGGCTCCGTTTGGCTCAAACATCCAGTGGAGCCCAGAAGATGGGTGGGAGGGAAAAGAAACGGCCTTCACACGCTCCACATGTTTGAAATGTTAAATATAATAAAGGGAATACTTTACGTGTGTGGGATGGTTTGACTCTTCACTGTTAGGTTTGATTTCTATTGAAATAGTGCAAGATGGAATCTGACATGTTAGAAAACCTTACTAGTATATATTTATATTTATATGTATATATAGCTCTGCTGTCCCTTGACATACAATTTAGAGGAAAAACACTGGATGCATTAGAATTAACATCTAGGTTTTGCTGTATAAACACTCATGCAGTGGATTAAAAGTTACAGCTGTATCTGTGCTCATAGGCGACTCTGTGCGTCTGCAGAATCTTCTGGATCCGGTTGTGGATCTGTTCCCCATAGGATGGACGAGTCTGAAGTCTGAGGAAGACAAAAAACCAAAACACAAACAAACCTTTAATCAATTTTTCATTGGGCGAGATGCACACATACCCTAGTGAGACGAATTAACCTGACAGTCATGTTTGTGGGACTGCAGAAGAAAACCAGAGTACTGAGAGAGAGAACCATGCATGCATGAGGAGAACATGCACAGCGACATGCACAGTGAAGTGTTTCAAATGTCGTTCTGGGTTCTGGGTGCAGAGGTAAAGCGTGTGACCCAGGTACAACTGTCAGAGGTTCGAGTCCCACCGTTTGACCTCTTCCTCTCTCACAACCCACTTTCCTATCTACTGACTGTCAAATAAAGAGCCAACAAATCCTTTAAAAATATATTGTTTAAAAAAACCCTCCTAGATGCTCTGGACACTCGTATTTTCTCCATTTCTGGGTAACGACTCGCTTTGTTATCCACAGACAAAGTGAGCTTGAATTCCCGAAGCTGTAGAAATGGGTTTGTGACCCTTTCCAGACTGGGAAGATGTCAATGACTTTGTTTCTTGTCTGATCAGGAAACAATGTTTTGAATCAGGGATGTTCTTTTTTTTTTTTGTTGTGTTAATTAGATTGATTGAAAACTCCCTCTTGTTTTTTTTGCTTAGGTTATCTTTGACAGCATCATTTGTTTGGTTATATGAAACACTCAGGCGTAATAAAATAGACTCTAACCAAAAACAAAAAAAAAAAAATCAAAAAAGCTAAAAGGGTTAAAGAAAATGTTGGTTTTTTTCCTTTTTGAATATAATTTCAAAAGATACATAAAAAATTACTGAGATTCTTTAAAAACTATATAGGTATTATGATATATATTTGGTAATGTAAATTGTGTCCACTAGTCTGCGCTCCAACCAAAGATAAGACATGAGCGATGGTGTTGAGATCACAACCTGACACTTGAAGTCTTTACTACCAGTTAAACATTCTCTAAACAACCACTGTGATTTTTTTTCTTGTGAAATAAAATCACATAAAACTGTAAAATAATAATATTTTGTTATTTTAACAAAGTAACTAATATTAATGACCAACAGTGTGCGGTATTTAAAGCAATAATTTACCTTTACCACTGCTTTATAAATAAATGTTTTCTACAGTAAGTCAGGACACAAAAGATTGCACTGATAAAAACAAATTCTTCTGTATTGCCTCTCATTCACGTCCATTTGTTGGTACTGGAGGGGTGACAAGTGACAGATTGACTCGGGTCTCGTCCTCGCTGGCAGTGTTTGAACAGGAGCTTTTCATCTGTAATCAGATAAACTCGGTACCTGCATCAAAAAGTCATCAAGGACAAATCATCCCGAGACATGAATAGACTGAGACTCAGAGGCTTAGGGGGCAGAAAGCTGCCACTGGCATCTGTCATTTTCTTTATAGATCATAGATTGGCGGAGAAGACGTGCCCCCTTCACTGTCAGAGGGAATCTACAAAGGCCAAGTCTAATCTCCCACCCAGCGAATCCTGCCGCGTTTCCAGATGAGAGGAAAGTATCCTTCATTTCCTGCAATTTACTTTGCAGTTTAAGATTGTCTATTGATTTTAATGTTTACTTATGGACTGAGCAAAGCGGAGCAAGCAAACAAAACGGGACGTCGGTCGCATCAGCTCACATCTCCTGTGATTGATGACAAGGTCTCTCTGAACGTATTAAAGTGTGCATCGGGTCAAATGCATCAGTCTCAAGCAGAAACACAAATCAATACCATTTCCTCTTTGTTTTCCCTTCTTGCTGCCTCCTTCTTCAGTAATGACCAAACATGACAAGACATCAGCTTCTGTAATTTAAAAGGTGGACGAGTGTGATCAAAATTAAAAATTAGATGTGTATGAACACACACACCCCCCATCCCCCAACACACACACAGATTTGCCCGGCAGCAGCGTATCCAGACACCTCTTGGGATTTCCATATATTTGCTGTACACGGTAATTGGGAACTCATACAGGTGCCTGTTTTGCTTTCGAGATCTTTTGGGCAAACACAAACGATGCGCACAGATGGAGCTCGACAAATTCAAGGTAAACATCAGGAAAAGATGAGGATTGTTGTCGCTCCAGCTTCAGTGTGACAATGAGGACTGTCTGCAGCAAACAGCGTCGGCGTTTAAATGAAATATTCTTTTCATATCTAACACGTAGAAATAAAAGTTAGATATAAATATTTTCTTCCATCTTGAATTTGATTAGAATTTTTTCCTATTTATTGTAGATTAAACTTAAGTCCCCAACATTTCCCAAACTCCTTAAGAATGTTTTGATAATTAGTAACGCAGACTAATCTTTTGGTCACTGAAATTATTTTAAGACTGAATCAAAGATAGTTTCATCCTGACACACTTTCCAGGTTTAAAAAGTTGTGATAAAATGTGAAAACCCTGCGAGGGGAAGGGATTTACCGTTCTCTGAGGGAGCAGCTGCTGACATTCAGAAGCCTCCCTGATTCTGTCACTGCCAGGCCGGACCAAGCTGAGACGGACCGGGTCCGCCGCAGCTCGGTCCAGCCTGGGCCTTTGATCTCGGGTTCATGATGGGAATGTGTCTCCGGAGACGCCTGGAGCCTCGCTGAAGCCGATTCTATCTAGAAAAAGTAAGAAAAAAAGAAAAAATTATATATATATATAT